AACATCTGATCTGGCCCTTACATTATCCTCCTCCATCCTCTGCTCCTGACTATAACCTGGAGATTCTCTATCATTAGACTCTCCCCTAAGAGAAGTCTCTGTCCGATCCACGTGCTCCTCTGCAGCAGTCGGCTTTCACCCCATCTCCTAGTTTAAAAACTGCCCTACAACCTTTTTAATGTTTAGTGCCAGCAGTCTGGTTCCACTTTGGTTTAGATGGAGCCCATCTCTCCTGTATAGGCTCCCCCATCCCAAAAGTTTCCCCAGTTCCTAATGAACGTAAACCCCTCCTCTCTACACCATCATCTCATCCATGCATTGAGTCTCTGAAGCTCTGCCTGCCTACCTGGCCCTGCGTGTGGAACTGGGAGCATTTCTGAGAATGCCACCATAGAGGTCCTGGATTTCAGTCTCTTCCCTAGTAGCCTAAATTTGGCCTCCAGGATATCTCTCCTACCCTTCCCTATGTCATTGGTACCTACATGTACCACGACCACCGGCTCCTCCCCAGCACTACACATAAGTCTGTCTAGATGCCTCGAGAGATCCGCAACCTTCGCACCAGGCTGGTATGTCACCATGCAGTTCTCCCGGTCATCACAAACCCAGCTATCTATGTTTCTAATGATCGAATCTCCCATTACTAACACCTGCCTTTTCCTAGCAACTGGAGTTCCCTCCCCCGGAGAGGCAACCTCAGTGCGAGAGGTAATACCAGCACCATCTGGAAGGAGGGTCCCAACTATGGGAAGGTTTCCCTCTGCTCCCGTTGACTACCCTCCTTCCCTGAGCCTTTCATCCTCCTTAATAGCGCAGGGGCTGTCTGACCGGAGGTGGGACAATTCCTCAGTGTCCCGGAAAGCCTCATCAACATACCTCTCTGCCTCCCTTAGCTCCTCCAGTTCCGCTACCCTTGCCTCCAAAGTCCGTACGTGGTCTCTGAGGCCCAGGAGCTCCTTGCACCGAATGCATACATATGCCACCCACCCACAGGGCAGTTAATCATACATGCTGCACTCAGTGCAATAAACTGGATAGCCCTCACTCTGCAGCTGGGCTTCTGCCTGCATTGTCTCCTAGTTAATGAAAGGGTTGTTTAAGCAAAAGGTTTTGAATGTAGTTTGGTTTATATGTTTTAAGGGGAATAAAGGGACCCCCGCTTCCTTCCCACTCCCCTTCCAAACTCCCTTGCGAAACTCCCTGTTAGCAGCCCCTGTTCGCAAAAGCTCCCTGGTCGCTTGAGTGCTGCTTTATGGGATCATGGGATCTAGTTCAATCCCCTACTCAAAGCAGATTTTTTTTTTTAATCTCACTGCCTTGGGGATGTGCTTGGCACATGTTTGTGTTACTATATTAATTCAAAAATATCACCAAACGAGTCACAATCTTCAAACACATAGAGCCTGTTTTTATATTTTTATAAGACCTAATAGAAACATTTGCATAACTGTTTTGTGTTTGAATTCACACATTCCTTAAACCCAAATACATCATCAGTGAACTAACATGTGAAAGCCATGAACTGCCCAGTCTATTTCCAATGCCTCAGCTGAATAAACTGCAGGAAGTAAACAGCAGCAATGGTAATAGGTGAATGGGATGCTTAAAATCTATCTATTCAGTTTCAAGTGATCAGGGCTGTTAACAGACGGCACAAGTGGGGAGGTCACTTTTCAAACGCATGACATTTAGTCTTATGCTGCTGGGTGGTCAGTGTCCCTTTAGTCTAAATCTAGCCCTACCTATTTATTTCGCTTTTTAAAAGGTTCCAACCCAGCCTTTATACACCCTTCCAACAGGACCCAAGAGCTCAGCGGAAGAAACTCTCAATCTCCCGGTGAATAGATGCCCAGGCCCTCAGCCTGCCCAGAAGGCACTAGGCCCAGAGCATCAGGAAAGGCGGGGTAGCTTCACCGCAACCCCCCCGTGGGCGCCTCTCTACCCCTGGCCAGGGTAGGGCAGCGGCGTTTCAGGCAGTAAGTCTCCTGGCTTCCCAGGGCAGGTGCACGCCGGAGCGACCCCGGCCCCGCAGCCCAGAGCACAGCCTCGGGCTAGCGGGCGTGGGTAGGGCTCCCGCAAGAGCCGCGCGGACAAGTCTGTCAGGGGCAGCTGGAGCTCTGCTGCTGGGCGCCCAGAGGGTGCCGCCTCCGGCCGGCCACCTACCTACCTCAGCCGGGCCGAACCACCGGCGGCCGCTTCCCTTGAAAAACCAGCAGGTTTGTCTCAGGCGCCCGAACTCGGTTACCTAGGTAACAGACCTAGCTCAGCTCGGCCACCGTAGCTCCCACGACCAACGGCCAGGCTCAGCGGCAGTAGTCACATGACGTCTTCCTCGGACCCGAGAGGATCACGTGAGGAAGCAGGTCCCGCGGCTCCCATTGCTACTGAGGCAAACTCGCCCATGCCCTGCCCTGCCCTGCCGCCCAGTGGGAGCATCGGTACCTCTAGTTTCCCCGTACTCCGTTAACCGGTCTGAACTAGGTGGCTGTCGCGAGCTGAGGTGGTCACGTGATCCAATCCCCCTCGCCCCCGAGGGCGTCATGTGACCTGTGTATGCCTACACCCGCCGGGGGGAGTGGAGCGATTGAGCGAGGGGGAACCGGGAACAGCGCCCCCTGCCGCAGGGAGGAGCGCGGTGGCGGGCGGAGCAGAGTAGAAGGGAGAGGAGCGGCGGGGATCACAGCGATGGGCCGTGCGGACCTACCCTACTCCATCCGCCATCGCCTGCTGCGCGGGACGCCAGGGCTTCCCGGCTACAGCGATCTGCCGCCGCGGCGCTCGGGGGCGGGAGGGTAACGTGGGGACTGCGGCAGCGGGGCTCGGCTGGGAAGCTTTGGCAGGGAGCGCGCCCGCGGCCCGGCCCCAGAGTTAATCGGAGCCGCTTGCGCTACAGGTCTGATCCGCCAGCTGGCTTCCCGGTCGGTGCAGCGGCGTTACCGCACCCACAGAGCCGGGGAGCGCCTTGGGCTCGCTACCAGCGGCATGCTGCCCCCCCCCCCTCCGGGCTGAGTCGTGACATACCAGTCACAAAACCAACCAATCCCCCACAACAGCCAAACAAACAGAAAAACTGGCACGACATTGAAACGTTAGCGATCCGTCATCGGTGCAGCATTTAATTTACTTCCCCTTTCAGATCGTTACACCGGATTATTTTTTTTCTACTAGCTAGTGTGTTTTACAAACTTTTCGTTACAAAAAGCTGACTGTATAAAAACTGAAAATGGGCTTTTTCCTTTGCTTTGCTGCTAAAACTGCCCCATTTAGCAAGAGCATACAATTGTTATAACTGAGCAATAATATAACTTGAATCTGTTAACAAAGTGCTAATTTAAAATCTTTTGAAAATATAACAGTTTGCTATTCTTAAGTGACTGTTACTGCTTCTTTTATTCAGTGCGTGTGAAACCTGACCCTGGGGTGTCATTATGGAGTGAAGTTGCCCCCTCTAGACTTTGGTTCCTTGCCCCACCACCCAGACTTTTCAAAGGTCTACATGCTTCACTCCCCCCTTCCCAACTTTGCAGATGTAATCACATATGTTCTATATGCTGATACACCTTTGCCCCTCTCCCTCAAATGTTTCTGAAATGATGTCCCTGCCTTGAGTCCTGCATAATGACAAAAGAATCAGGTTTTATACGACTGTCCTGCATGGAAGTATTAAATCTATTCCCCCAGCTGAGGGCAGTGCTTCCTGTACTGCTGGGGTGAATGTGGTCCTCAGCAGGAAACTGAAATCTGGTTTTGGTTGAAGATGTCCATCATGCACTTAGCTATTTCTATCATTAGAGTATAACTCATAAATGCACTACTGGGCTTCTGGCAATTATCCCTTATCTTAGACAACATTTGTAAAATACTTGAAAAAGGTTCAGATGTCTAGCCTACCAACTTCCACACTGTTCAATTAAAGAAGACTGTAGTACTTCACTAAGAAACTCTACGGGGCTTACACTGACCCAAAAAGATCATGGCTGGGAACCAGTAAAGCGCCCGAGGTCACAGATTTGGTTGGGCTTTCTGAGACTTACTGTCTGAGACATCCTGCTGCTAAGTATAGGTGTAAGGGAGGGCAGGCACTGCAGGAGGACTTGGCAAATGAATAAAAAGCAGGCAGTGTTCAGAGGCGGCATCTGAGAATTGTAAATAGATGGGTTTTGGCATAGATGTTCTGATGTCACCTCTGAAAGCCGCTCCATCTATCTCTGCTTGTTTCATCAGGGACAGAGTTGGTGGTCCTTTGGCAAATCTTGTTATCTAGGCTGCCTGAAGCCGGAGGCTGGAACTGAGCAGCAGGAACAGATATGGGACTTCAGCTTTGTTTTTCATTCCATTGCTGGCAGTTCTTCTAAGTACAGAAAGTTTACTGTTCTTTTTGTTCCTTTATTCCAGAAACTGTGCTGGAGCCAGTGAATGGAATACTCAGCCAAAATGGAATTTAGTGCACAGTTTTTCATTCAGTTGCCATTTTAGGTCTCTGCTGAGACCCTCGTTGCTTCCATTCAAGTCAACTTCTGGGACTAAGGTGATGGCCACTTCTAACCAAAGAGCTGTTAGTCAAGGATATGAGAGACATATCACTTGAAGAATTACTCTGCTAATATTTAGCAAAAAGCAAAAGACAGTACATTTCTTGGTGCCAGTAGTGACAAGAACAGGCAACCCCTTCTTGCATTCACAAACAATCCCTTTCTAAAAGTTTTCCAACATTTCTGCTTCAAATTTTGGTTACTTTGTTTTAAATATATTTTAGCACATATCTGCAAATGTTTAAAATATGCAGAGAAATTAATGACCCCTGTCTCCTTGACCACTGACTCTCAAATAGCTTTAGAACAATAGCAGTCTGTGCTTGCATATGCTGTCCAGCCTAAGGGCTGTCAATTGTGTTTGTTGTGAGAGTCATGTTGCTTTAGGAATTTTTATGCCAATATATAGTAAATGGTAAAATATAACAAAGGTCACTTAAGAATACAAATACACATTATTCACACACATGCATTCTGGTCCTCTCTGCTGAAAACCCTTGAAACGAAAAGATTTTATAAGGCAGTTTGCTTCAAAGAGCACTAGTACCGTATACCAAGAAGTGAGAAACTAATTCAGATTCTACCACTATCTCGCATTTCTCTCATTTCCTATTTAATCTCAGGTATAAAGCCTATGCTAACAAAGGGCCCATTATGCCACATATCCCAGATTGTTTTATACAAGTATAAACTGCAGTTAAAATTAGAGGGAGCAGACAAATATTGGACTATAGGGTCTTCTGCAGTTCACACTGAACTCCCAGGGGAGTGGAGGGTACTTTCACATTGCGAGAGGTGCAACAGCATCTCTTGGGATCAGGCTCTTTATCTACACATGGGTGTTATATTTCCAGTTGCATATGTTGGGCCATTTATAGCATTTCATCTACATGAACAACTGCTGTTGATAGTCATGGGAAATGTGCAAGCCAATCTAGGACAGTATATGGCAGGGATCGGCAACCTTTGGCATGCGGCCCGTCAGAGAAATCTGCTGGCAGGCTAGGAAGGTTTGTTTACCTGCAGCATCCGCAGGTTTGGCCGATCTCACTGGCTGCGATTTGCCATTCCAGGCCAATGGGGGTTGCGAGAAGTGATGTGGGCCGAGGGATGTGCTGGCCGTGAGAGTTATTTCATTAGCAACCAACTATATGAGCCTACAGTGCTACAGGCTGCCGAACAGTGTTGCAAGCTGAAGCAATGATGTTAACTTCTCTGTTTGCTTAATATCTGTTCAGAGAGGCTCCCATGTAGTGTGGAGAAATGTCCGTTGGGCTCAGCAGTATGGAAACCTCTGAGCCCACATGGAAATGAGCCCACATGATGATGGAGATGAGAGAAAAGGTATGCCCTGGCTTAGGTGTTTAAATGGTGTGAATACTAATGATGTGCACACTTGCCATTTAAAGGATTTTCATTTCCTTCTAACAGCAACCAGTTGCAGCCACATTCTCAAGGGCACATGACTGCAGTATTTAACAACAACAGAGAGCAGGGCTAGCCA